CCTTCTCTATCATTAGCGGTTGTAATTACATCAGCAGATTCGGCACATTCGCGATAGAAAAGCGGCGCTTTCCAACTTCATTAACAAGTTATGGTATTACAGCTGTGAAATTACAAACAAAAAAATACACATTCTGAGACATGAACTGAAATGAACTGTGGATTTTATTAACATTAAATCGTCGTCCTCTCATTTTCACCTCAAAATTTTGGGGAAGCTGTGCCTCCCCTGCCTCCGATGAGCCAATATGCATTGCTAAGGACTTCATTCGGACAACTTTAAAGGCGATTTTCTCTATTTATTTATTTTTTGCATCCTCAGATTCCAGATTTTCAAGTAGTTGTATCTCAGCCAAATATTGTCCTATCCCAACAAACCATACATCAATAGAAACTAAGCTTATTTATTCAGCTTTCAGATGATGATAAATTCATTCAATTTCAAAAAATTGACCATTATGACAATTTTGTGGTCCAGTGTCACAATGTCCTCACTTTGACAACCCACTATAGTGAGGACATTTTACTGGTCATTTTACCTCACTAGTTAAAAAGGCTTATAAATCAGCCAAAGTGTGTTTTTATGTAAATCTAATGTTCTGCACACGTTTCTGTGATGGGTAAGTTTAAGGGTAGGAGTTGGGTTAGGTGACAGAAAACATCATTAACCTGACAGAAAATTAATGGAAGTCTATGCATTGTCCACACCAAGGTGTGTGTGTGTGTGTGTGTGTGTGTGTGTGCGCGCGCGCGAAAAAAACATGAGTGTGTGCATGTATTAACGATTTGTAACGATTACTATTTTTTCGAGACATATATTTTGCTCATATTTTAAAATATGTTATATAAACCAATTAAAATATTCTGGTAAAATGTTTATTTACCTAGGCCTGAAAAGAGCATTGCGTAATTGCGTGCGCTTTAACAAAGAGAAAAAAACACTGAGCCAGCAGATGGCATCGCGTGAGCTATGACGCAACACGCGCACCCGTCTGACTCCAGCAGCTCCCTCAGATATCCACCGGTCCACCCGAGAAGCACGATGTGACCGTGACATACACAGCCACCTAAAGACAGAAAGACAACAACATTCTCCTTCTCCGTGTCACTGAGTGCAGTTATGTCTGAGACGCCATGCCAGATCTTTCGGGGTGTCTGCTCCTCGCCGCGCTGCTGATTTTCTGCGAGGATGGGTACGTGAGGAGAGCGGAGGGTGGGGTGCTCGCCTCGCTGTCGGAGGAGGACAATGCCCGCGACACACAGACGTCCCCAATCAAGGGACAGGGGGATGCGACGGTGCCTCCATCAGGTAACGGCTCAGCATCATCTACATACTCAGCATCAGCTCCGCATGCGGCGTGCTTGCGAATAATAGGGATGTTTTCATGATGGGATACATGACAACAAAGGACAGGGGTGCGCTGTTGACCGCTGTGCTTGCTGTCTCATAACATTGGCCTATAGCGTTCATTATGTGTCTATTATTTGTGAGCCTGCGGAGCGTTTCTACAGGGCCATTTGCAGTGAAGCCACCTATTTCAGGCTTTATTTAGGACAGCCATGTCTACATTATTTAAAGGTGAATAGCTGATATGGTTGAGAAACATTACGATGTTTATCTTGAATGTACAGGGTCATTATGCATTTAAGGTGGGATTAATTTAGAGCTAGAATCATCCGAGACCTTTCTGTTTGAGATGGTATAATCAAATCCATTAGGTTTTTAATGTCAAGGGTTTTCAACTTTTTGATGTCAATGACCCCAAAATGACTCAAATGTGAGGCCACTATATATATATATATATATATATATATATGTGCATTTGAAAAAAATTGTATGTGATATTGCGAAAACAACATGTTTAAAAAATAAACAGTTGCCATTTACATTGCACATAGATCTAAATAAATGTTCGATCATTAATTAAAAATAAATGTTAATTATTTTGAATTCAGATTGTTAATTATTTTGAGTTCAGATTATTTTTATACTTTTTGTTCCTCTAAATTTTCTGCTGACCCCTGGGGATTCCTGGACCCCAGCTTGAAAGCACCTGCCATTGCCATTCACAGATGGGTCTAGATCAGCACAAAGAGCAACACCTAATTTCATAATATCAATGTTACTGTGTGCTATAGCCTAGTAGCGAATTTCCTGTTACACATTTTAAGTACCAGGTCATGGTTGTATTATAGTAATCTAGTTAAATGTAATAGTAGTCTTTTAATATTGCTTAAAGGGGTCATATGATGCGATTTCAATTTTTCCTTTCTCTTTGAAGTGATCCAAGCTCTTGAAGAAGATCTGTACAGTTGCAAAGACTGAAGTCTCAAATCCAAAGAGATATTCTTTATAAAAGTTAATCAACCACGCCTACCTAAAACAGCTCGTTCTAACACGCCCCCACATGTCTACATCACTATGTGGGAAGATTTGCATAACGCCGCCCAAATGTTCACGCAAAGAAAGAAGGCGCAACTTTTATTCTCGCTGTAGTATTGTTGCTGCCGCCATATAGTGAAGATGCTGTGTGCTTCGTTGTGAACGCGAAACTACTTTGTTTGGCCTTCCAAAAGAGGACGATATCCGCTTCGTCATGCCTAGAGCTGATCCGTGCTGGTCGCTGAGGAAATACATCAACTTCGCGCTGTGGATCGCCGGATCGGCTTTCACCGTGGACGAAGCGGAGTCCAGCCCGGGGTCGTCACATGTGGTTGCCGCAAGCCCGCCGGCCACTCCTTCGTCGAATCCGCCGGCCACGCCGTTCTCAAGCCCGCCGGCCGTTCCTCACTCAAGCCCGCCCGCCGTCGCTCACTCTAGCCTGCCGTGTGTGACGCTGTGTGTTTCGTTGTGAAAGCAAAACTACTTTGTTTGGCCTTCCAAAAGAGGACACGACTAGAAATCAGTGATTAAGTTGTATTTACAACACTGTTCCAGAACAGTTCAACCCAAATATTCAGATGTGTGCAGCACATTTTATGGAGGACTGTTTCCTGATCCTGGTAGAGTAGACTACAATGCCGGCTGTTCCGACTCGCAGACTGTAACTACATTTTTTATATTAAAGAATTTGCCACTGACGATTCAAAAGTTTTGAGCAGTGTAGAGTAGCACTTGTTGTTTGTAATTTCTCCGATCACAAATGTAGACATGGTTTTATGTTTACGTGGCACGATGCAACGCATGAAAAGACAGTATATGTCATTATAATCCGTAATTATGTCCCCACTGGATGCAACAAATGCCTCGTTTATAATGGGTTTTAATGTTTTTGTCTCGTCGCTCCTGCCGGACAGGGCATCACAGTATGGTAAGGGGCGTAACATTTCCGTCACACGCTTGAGGTATTCGGCCAATCCCAACGCACTGGATAGCTGGCCAATCAGAGCACACCTCGCTTTTCAGACCGATGAGCTTTGTAAAAATCGACGCGTTTCAGAAAGGCGGGGCATAGAGGAGAAACAATAATGTACAGTATGTGGAAAATAATGTGTTTTTTTTACCTTAAACCGCATAAACACATTTCATTACACCAAATACACAAAATAATGTTCTTTTTAGCAACATCATATGACCCCTTTAAATATCAGGGCCTGAAGTTAAGACCAAAGCATTTCCAAAAAAAAAATTGTTATTAAAAAAAACATGTTGAAGCTGTGTTGCTTTATTTGACTAACTTCTAGTGCCTGCCATTGTGTCATCCTGGTTATATTGTTGTTTTGAGGATCTGCATGTGCAAAGAATGAGGGATTGACTTTTCAAGACATTTCAAAGACGATTTTCAAGGTTTCTCAAGCCTCAGCTTTTCACTGATGTGCTCATCCGACATTTGGCACTTTGATCTATTTTTAAGTCGCTCTGCCTGAGCCGTGGGTCCAATGGTCATTACTATTTCAAGGCAAAGATTTTACTGTCACCAACCAATTTTTTTCAGTGTTGGCTGTATTGGTTTTTAATGCGTTGAGCGATTACAGTTCAGTTACTTCAATGAACTTATAAACATTGGTGCATGTGGTGGCTAACCTTAAACTCCATTTAATTTGATTCATTTAAAAAAATTATAATTCTCTTATCTTTGACTCGTATTACAAGGGTTCGAGGCAAAATTTAGCATTCAAGCAACCAGAATATCCTATGCTCATTTTTATGCACATTTTTTATTAATTTCCACAAAAACCTGACATTTTCTCTGTCTCCAGAGTCTCTCCTGACCCTGAAGATTTGGGTTAAAGATGCGTCTAGCCAGAGGTTCCTGAAAGGAGCTCTGGTGGGTGTGTTTTTGAATGGATCCCAGATTCACTCCAGCCAGACTCTGGAGAATGGAGAGGTCACGGTCACTGTCCCATACCACCTTGGCCTGACCCTCACTCTGGTGGCCAGCATGGAGGGTTATGTACTCACCCAGCTGCCTTGGAAAACCACCAAGATGCCCAGTAAGTTCATAACCTTAGTTTATTATTTGTTATTTTATTTATTAGGATATTGTGTATTTTATATGATTTGATGACATCAGGCTATGATTTTTGTTATGATGATTTTTATAGGCATGTAATAATTATATGTATTTTTTATTGTATTTTTAAGTTTCCTCTTAATATCTGCATATTTTAGCAAGTTATGCTCAGTAAACACCTCAGTGAGACGAACAGATAAATAGTGAGAAAAGGATGACTAGGCAGCAAAAAAGCTGTGAACCATGTGACCTCACCCTGGCCCTGGCTTGTTTTATAACATCCAACTAGAGCTCTAAAGAAATGACTTTCAAACATATGGACAAAAACAACTAATGTCACTTTAATGTGAGAAACTTGGCTGCTGAAATGAGGTTTGAGTGTTTGTTTTTATGCTATTTCCTAGTTATTTCTGTTATTACAATGTCCCTGCGCCCTCAAACACAAGGGAACGTCTGGCTCTTTGATGATACTGTGCTGATAACTCAAAAAGCATCTGGTATGTCAGATAAAACATATTACCTATTATTTTATCCAATTATTCATACTGCTATTTTTAAATTGAGAGCAGTTTTTAAAATGTTATAATCTATAATTTAATGCAGTACATACATACATCTGCTGCATGGAGCCCTACTCTGAATGTAATACTGACACACAAAATTTCTACTGTTGTATTATCGATATATTTTCACATTACAGATCTGTCATTTCAACCGAGTGTGCAGTTTCCCAAAAGTCTCCTCAAACTGTCTGAGAACACTACCATCTCCATGTTGTCAGCCTATCTGACAGTTCCAACCCTGCCTACAGAAAAAGACTCAAATTTCTTTACTCTAAACCTGAGCGGTAAAGGAGGTAAGATGAATTTGAAAAAAAGGATCAATTATCTTTTGCATCTGACTACATGGTGGTGCAGGCAAATCTAAACAGTTGTCCTGTCATTCCTTATCACATCTTTTCATTGAGTGAATGCTGACCCTGTGTGTTTCTGAATGTTAATGATCTGTAAGTGAGGGGAATATATTGTAGGGCAGTTTTAGTCAATAAAAGCTACAAACTCCATTACTGTTTAGACTCGATACTGCATTGATTAGTTAATGTTATTTATTACTTGTTATTGATTAGGCAATATCAGGCCGCTAGGATAACCAGATTTAAACAAGAGCTAACATGATGGCACATTGTACACATAATATCATTCCTCTCAACCACACACACCTTTACACAGTTTTCTAATGTATTTTTTGCAGATTATAAAATGAATCTCAGTTATCATTGTATCCCCAATTACAGGTTATAGGAATGTCAAGTTAAACCCCTTGGCTATGATCATTGCCCAGTTAGTGTCTAATGGAAAAAAGGTTGACGTCAAAGGACCCATTCAGCTCAAAATACCACTACCCTACAACACCCACATGCGACCGTCTGACTCGCTGCCTGCGTGGACCTTCGACATGACCATAGGTGATTGAAAAACATTTCAGCATTTAAAGACTGCAAACTTACCCATTCAGAAGAAGCTTGTCAGATCTTACACTGTTTTCTTGAAGTGGGGACTATGAACTATCATCATTACAGTCCTTAAAGGGATAAGACGTATACGCGCGAGAGATCACTTCCGGCGCTTGTGTAAACTACGCCAGAGCGCGTACATACCTCACGCACCGGATGCCTGCGCACGCTCAAAGACAGTTGGACATAGTGGCGTATTAGATGTAAAAAATATATATATATGTAAGTATTTTTAAACATTTGTTGTCCTGTGAGCACAATGCTTGTACCCACAATGCTCTTCTAGTGAGTCTGAAAAAACTGTTTAAATGCTATCAATTTGAATCTCTTGACTTGCTTGGAATCAGTTTTTGTTCTTCAGTTCAGTTCTACAGACATTGAAATGTAACGCAAGGAACTGCCACACAGTGCCATAAACAATTATAAAATAAATTGTGGAAAAAATGAGCACTGTTAAGCTAAGCACTATATATTCTCCAATTCAGAAAGAGCACCAGTGTGTTGCAAAGAGTTTTCTGAGGGAGCGACTAAGGCCTTTGAGGTCATATGCTGTTTTAACGCACTGTACTTATTTAATGTATTATTGCTAGTCACATTTGCATGCCGTCCATTGTGATGCTTTTATCATTCAATGTTTTCATGTGTAAGAATGTAGTACCCAAAAACATTGACGATATGCCTCAGGTTATGGTTTACCTTACCAAGGCCAGTGCTGGAAGCACAGCTGTACAGGTCATAAACCTAGCATATTAAGATGTTTCTTGTGCTAATGTGTTTTGTGTGTGAAATATTTCTTCACAAATTGACAACAAATCATTATCAACTCGTGTATTAAATGTGTTGAAGCTTTTTTAGCTTTATTATTTTGGACAATTAACTGTTACTGTTTAATTTTTATTGACAGTTACAATAAAACACTAGCTTGTTGTCAGGCAGCAAATTTGAACTAAGATGGCAAACTGAGTTTGACATTTTAAATGAAGTATGACCAAGGAGAGATTGCATTGTATCAGCTGAATGTTTTTAACGTAATTTATGTTGTATTGTAGCATTTATTATTTCATTAATTGTAATATATTTTAATGATTTCTCAACACACTGGTTTAAACGGCTCATGAGCCATTCCTGGATGCTTTAAAGTACAGCTTGTAATCTGCCTTTTTGTGCACATTTAATAAAGGTACTTGACCAAAAATAAAAATGCTCATGAGTTTTATGTACCTAGAATTAATGAAAGCATACATTTTATTCTTGATTTTTTTAACCATATAAATTAACATTAAATACTTAAATGTAAAAGACAATAATAAAAGTAGTCTCTAATACCAACATAAATGTCAAAAATGGCCCTTCTTTGGCCCATCTTGAAATTCAGTGACTGCTCAGCTAATTACATGAAAACGTCTCAGGTTACGTATGTAACCATGGTTCCCTGAGAAGGGAACGAGACACTGCGTCCTCTAGAGGTCGTTATGGGGGAACTCCTTCAGCGTGACCAGTGTCTGAAGCATACATCTAAACATGACAATAACATTGGCCAGCGACAGCCTGTGACGTCATCACCCGGCGCAACCAGAGTATAAAAGGGCGCGGGGGGAACACGTCATCCGCTTCTTCATCTGAAGCTTGCGTCCGAAGCATGGCAAGGGAACTAGAGGACGCAGTGTCTCGTTCCCTTCTCAGGGAACCATGGTTACACATACATAACCTGAGACGTTCCCTTCCGAGGGAACTTTGAACTGCGTCCTCTAGAGGTCGCTATGGGGAACGGTATACCCACGCCGCCATGCTGAGGGGAGTGCATGCCAGAAACCACGAAGAGCACTAAGTACCAACTCTACCATAGCCATGGGAGTTGCCTCAAGGACGTCTTGACGGCTGTCAGTGACATTATCCCCTTTGGCCAAGGGCCTGAGCTGCATTCCCTAAAAGAACTTATCTGTTAAGTGCTGGGCTAGGAAGCCCAAGCCTAGGGCAGAGCTCAAGGCTTGGAATCAGAAGAAAGAGAATCCTTTAAGGGGATACGGCCAGGTGTCTTAAAACCAAACCAGACCCTGGCCTGCCACCCAGAGGGGCTACCACCGGTTCCGAATAAACCTGCTCAAAGAACTGACTCGACAGATCTTTGGTAGCAACACCCTGCCCAGAAAAGTATCAACAGAGATACATAAGTTGAGTGGAGCCCAAGGCAAGAACTGGGACCTAAACCAACTCAGATAAAGGGAACGAGGCTGACAGCACGTAACCCTTACCATTCAGGATTTTTGAAAGAGCGCAGAATGCTTAGCATGCACACTTACCACAATGTGGATTTTAGAAAGTGCACAGAGCTCAGCGTGTGCACTTACCATAGCATGGATTTAGAAACACCATTGCTTAAGGGGTAACCGAAGCTGTATAAACCAGCCTAGGAGCCCTATGTAACTGTGGCACGCTCACAGAACAGAATCCGAAGCATCTGTTCACAGATGCCCAGAAGGGAGCGGCGTGCTTGCAAGAGGCCCTTCACAGTGAGGGGAGCACAGCTAGCTCACTTAACAAGCAACCCGCCAGGGAAGCAGGAGATGGCCCAGCCGCCTGGCATAATTCAAAAAAACTTCAAAAATAGAAGGGGGACACGGATGCTCAGATCGAGAGGGGCGTGCTCATATGAAACCCCCAAGGGCAGTGCTAAGCTTGACCCACAAGGAGAGCGGCTCAACAGGGAGGCGGAGAGAGGCGTACCACCTGAGGCTGCTACTCAATGGAGTTCAAACGAGCGGAGGACTCGATGAGAGAAGTCCACAGACACTCAGTTGGGAGCGGCAGGCTCAAAGACAACCCTCCGAGGTGAGGGAAGCACTGCCTGGCTTGACCCAAATAGAGGCAGCTTATCAGGAAAGCAGCAAGCGGCCCAACTACCTGATGTCACTGCCACGGAGCTCAAGAGCGGAGGGTTCAACCCCTAGTGAGGAGAGAGAGGAACCCATCTCGACCGAAGCGATCAATAGCCCAGGGTCACAGGACCTAACTCTCAAGTCGAGAGGAGGACTCACCCAGTCTGCCCAGGACTGGCGAGCTCAAAGGGACCCTCCCACAGTGAGGGGAGCACAGCCATGTCAGAGGAGCAGATAGTTCGCAAATGGGACATCAGAAATGGGATCCTGCTAGAAGGGGATCACACATTTCTACAGGGAACAACAGGGACCCAAAATAAAGGCAACTGACCAAGGAGGTGACAGAGACGAGCCTAACACTCAGTTTGTTGCAAATGTGGGCTCTCAAGCTGAGGCGGGCCCTGACAGCACATACTGGGAGCGACTCATAGCTAACCCTCACATTGAGGGGAGCACTTCTCAGCTCGACCAGAAGAAGGTGCTAGATTAGAAGGGGTAACCCAGCAGAGCCTAATAAGAGACTATCCACTGGTGCAACTGGACACAGTCTCATGCTCTCTATCTCGATACAGAGCGTGGGTCCTGTATAATCAGACCCGATAGAATCTGAAGAAATAGTAGGACCCTATAACCATTCATGCGTACAGAGCTTACTGCTCCTCAGAGCAGAAGCATACAAGAGGGGTTTCCGCAGAAACACAAATTCCTCATACCTCAGGGAATGCAGTGTACTCAAGCCCACTCCGCAGAGGGGCGATTACTGGTTCGACCATAAGGGCAGTGTGACAGAAAGGCCTGACCGTCTATGGAGTGTTGAGCTCCTCAACGACCTCAGCGAGAGGAACTCTAGCTCAGAGAACGTGGATGATGGTTAAGGAAAGACTCAAATCTCAGGAGACCCCTCAGGGTGAAAGATGAGTAGCGCACCCTGGCCAGAGGATAGGGAGCATGTCACGAAGCATGTACTCGGAAGAGTACTAGCCCGCGAGAAGGACCCGCAGGTCCTGAGGTTGCAGCGTTTTACTGGGGACCTGATGCTGGGAGGCTTCCGCAGAAGCCCAGGCTGCGTGTCCAAGCTGAAGATGAGGGCTATCACCAGCCTGGATCCAGAACCGATGAGTGAAACCAACACTATAATCGGTCAACAGCAGGAGGCCCTGACTTAGCAGGGGGGGTCAAATCTAAAAAGTCAGAAAACAGAACAAGTCCGAGTAGCGCTGCAGAAAAAGGCTAGTATTGAATACACAAAAACTAGCAGTAGAGTAGATGAAATGGATCGTACTCACCAACCATGGCTCCCACGCATGACTCAGGCTCATGGATATAGGCTGGAGGCGAAGTTCGAAGAGCACTGGGGTCCGGACCATCAGTAGGTAGTTCTAGGAGTTATAGAAACTAGGCAAAACATCATAGGCCCAGCATAAGAGACTGCAATGCAAGCGCAGGAGGCTCCTACCTAACCTCAGTCAGGAGGGAAGCTTTTTAGGGGAATTAAGGGGAGGAAGATGTGAGCAGATGTAATACTCTCAGAGGGGGGGCGACCTTCGTGGAATGAAGGATTTAAAGGCAGCCGAGCACGTCTTGGCCTCCTTAAACTTCGCGACGGAAGTGCCGAAAAGCTCACAAGGGGAAACTGGCGCATCAAGAAGAAAGCCCCTCTCTTTCGACCCCAGATATCCGCCAGATTCACCCACAGATGCCTCTCCGTAACCACCATGGCTGCCAATGGCAGTGGCTGCCTGCTTAGTGGCACGGAGAACAAGATCTGTTGTGCGACACAACTCAGCCACCTCATCAGGGGATAGACCCTGACCTTTATCCGGGTCTTTCAGCAGATCAGCCTGATAAGCCTGAAGCACCGCCATGGTATGCAATGACGCTGCAGCCTGACATACTACCGCATAAGCCCTGCCATTCAAACGAGATGTATCCTGAAGGGGTTTGGACGGTAGGGAGGGAGCCTTAAAAGAAGATGCCTCCCCTATAGAGAGATAGCAGGCCAGCGTCTCTTCAACAGGGGGCATCTTCCTTATAACCATTCTCACGCATACCCTCAATGTTGGCATAACTAGTATGCTGGAATC